TCTTTTTCAGAAAGTACTTTAATTAATTAGTAATTAAAAATAAATTTGAAAAAGAACTTTGCCAACAAGAATTATACACGCTTTTCATACTGCTATGAAAGAGAGAAAAGCTAAAAAGAAAAAGTTAATGACAAAAACAAAGTTGGACAATTCTAGACCTATTTCGAACATGGCAGAAAAATGTTGTCTATACACATATTTTAGCCTTACATAAACTCTTGTCAAAAATATAAAAGAAAAGTTAACTTCGACTTGACAACAGAAACAAAATAAAATAAAAGTGATCATACAGTAGATTAGGCATGCAACGGTTACGGTTAATTAACCGCAAATAAGCAGTCGAACGGTTGACCGTAACCGTAAATAACCGCTTTATAACCGCTTATTGTATAGCTGGCTTTTAGCTCTTTGATGTTTGTTTACATTAGAAGTAGACAAGGACAGTCGTTACCCTGACGTTTTAATGCTTCTGCTATAGTAATACAGATACAGTTCAATCTTGTGTGGTACTCAAGTTCGTTGGATGAAATGCTGAGATTCATGCTGAAAAGGTCATAGATTTTGTTTAAAAAAAGTCGAATTATTTCTGACAAACAGCGTGAATTTCTCAGATAACACATGAGAATCACTTGTTCATGGGCTAAAATTGAATAAAAATCACGAATTTCCAAGTGGTTTCATTGATGAGATATTCGCCAACGCCGCCACTTAACAGCTGTTTTTGTACAGCATAGCGTAAACTGTCACTATAACAGATGCTTAAAACGTCAGGACAAAGATCATCCTTGTCTACTTCTGATGTAAACAAACATCAAAGAGCTAAAAACCAATATACCCTAATCTGTTATAAAGCGGTTATTTATGGTTACGGTTAATCATTCGACCGGTTATGATCGGAGACGGTTGTGCCTACAGTAGATGCGTGATGTAAAATGAAAAATAGAATTGAAAAAGTAGATAAAAGTAAAGATATGAATCACGAAGTGACAGTATGATAAAGTGAGAACTATCTTATTTCTCTCTATTCTTACCGTCGATCATTTTTTATCTGTCTATTTCAGAATAGACAGAAAAAACAATAAAAATACGACGACTCTTGTTGACACTCTCAGAGAGTGGCAATAGCCATTCCTTATCCAAAAAGTACCTCGGAGTTATGGTCTTAAGTATCTATGATAAAAGTTTCAGCCAGATCAGTTTAAACTATAGGAGGATCATAACGTAGTCAGATGAGACATATTTTACTTTTTTGAAGTTGCACTATAGTTAAATACTATTATTAGATGAAGCTTTTAGTAGAATGTTTATAACCTTTTGCTGACACATTTCTCAACTTCGCGGAACATCTCATTTTGAAGACAGCGCTTTACAAGATTTCATATTCAGATTTTTCTTCTGTCCTACAGAGAACAAAAAAATCTTATAAATTCAAGCTCTCGAAGTTTTGTGGAGTCAGGTGTCATAACAATCTTATAACTTTTGATAGAAAGGTCGTAACCAGTATGGAGGCATCTCATTTTGTAGAGAAATGTTTGCTTCATATCTGGCTATATCTTAAAATTGTAGTTTTCTCTGAAAAAGTGAGGGATCTACCCTTGATCTGAGGAAGCGTTCTTCGTTTAAAAAGTTCGATCTTTTCAGGTTTTGCAAGCCGGCTTTAACATCGGAGTCTCGAGCACCTCTAATTTGGGTGAAAATTTTTTAATGCCCAATCATTAAACGTATAATTCATAAAGAAATTTTTTTCAGACTGAAAATTATTAAAAACTTTGAGAAAACTATGCTATATTCGATTTGCGTCCCGAAAAAACGGTTTCAAGTTCCATCCACAGTGGGGAACAACCTGGACACGCAAAAAACAAAAATGCACTTTTGCAAGATTCAAATAGCAGGTCATATACTTCAGCAAACCGTCTATCCTTTTGCTACTGGAAGTTTTTTTCATAAGTGTCACGGTTAACCAGATGACGTAATTCCAAAGTCTAGCTCGAAAATCTTCGTGCTGTAAAAAACGATCTTCTCGTGGACAAAGCAGAGGACATTGAGTTATGAATTGGACATATTCTGAAACTAGAACTTTCAGACTATCAATCCATAAAAAAATTTGTTTTTCTTAACCCTTCCCGTATGGAAAAATGCTTTTTCTTTCTCCGCTACGTGTTTTCCGAAGAGCGGTCCACAGTTTAGTGAGTTTCCCGAAACTTTCCACAGTCCAAACTCGATGAAATTTTTGATGTTGATCTATATATATTACATTGATACCGTTAGCGCGAATTAGCGCGCACAACACCGAACGGAGTTGCGAATTTTCGAAATCATCTCGTTTTTCCACTTAGTTTCCACTTTTTCACCTCAGAAACATTTTTATTGAAAAATAAGGTGAGATTCGGAATCAGCGCAAAAACTGCATCAAATGTTGTGTCTTTCAATGCTACTGGAGTAGTAAATTTGTAACCGTCATGGTGTTCATCGCGGAGCCCAAAAAAACTAACATTTCAGAGCATTTTTTGTGCAATGACGTTAAACTAAAATCGCCAAACCGAATATGTGGCAGCTTAGGGACTTGGCTGATACCAAAGAAAAAAAGAGCCAAGGGGTGGTGAGCTCTTAGCAGAATAGCGACTAGTTTTTACTCAGTCTTATTGAAAAGGGCATGTGAAATAACCTATACAAAGAGTTAGCTTGTATTTTGCGAACAAAAGGGTTTTCTAGATACCCAGCTCTCTGAAAAACCTTGTGGAACGTCCTGAAAGCATTTTCTGTTATTAGATCTGAAATCAGGATACTCGAAAACCTATCAATAATTATCTCCTCGAGAAAATATGCATTTTTTAAACCGTTTTGGTCCCTGGAAACAGAGGGATTTCTGAAAAATCCGGTTTGACGGGTTTTTGACCTCTAAAAAGTGTTACATTGGAAACATCGTATTAGAAAACCTATTAAAAGAGTGTTTTGAGTTTCGCGAACTTGTGTAAAACCTAATGTCCACGTGCCTAGTGAAAATTCCCCACTGTGGTCTAACAAAAATTGATGAATAGGTTTAAAACATTTTCGATACTTTACTTGAAGTACCACATATTGGTCGTTATATACACGTCAGATTCAGATCTTGTCTACACCAACTGCCCATTCTACACTGTGACCCATTGTAGAGAAGGTTTAAACAAGTTTGACCATTCCAGAAGGTTCCCAACGGATACTGACATGTTCCGCTTGAGCAGATGAGAGATCGATACTGTTCACGTAGGCCACACGTTTGATTATAATTAAAATACTAAGAAGACCTGTGGAGCAGTGCGCTGATTCTTGATGACACTGATGCGGATGCGATCGTAGCTGTTGTATAATCACTTTTATACAATTCACATTGTAATGTAAGAGAATCATAGTTGAATGTACGACAGTGAATATTGAGATTACACGACTGACCACAGGTTAAAAATGATTCGACAGACAGAGTTATAAGAAGTTCACTTGGATTTTGTGGTTGAAATGTGATACCAGCACTTGTAAATTCAATATCAGATTCAAAACTAAATTGTGAAGAAACTGATGATAGTAAAATCAGAAGACAAATAACGATATATATGATTTTTGATTTCTCAACTTTTTAACCCTTAGGCGCCGGGGTTTTTTAGGAAAAAATGGAAATTTTTTCTTTCAAAAAATGTCCAATAGTTATTTAAATTCATATTCAAACGACGTAAGAAAGATACAAATTTAATTAACACTTCTTTAAATGAAGATGATAAAATGTTGAATATCATTCTTTTATCTAAACAATCATTATATTCAATCTTTATATTTGGCGAGGTGATGTGCTCAACACATCTATTAGATTATCGGATGTCTTCAGCGATATTTCTAGGAGTCTCTTTACACTGAGATGCTATGAGTAACTAACTGTAAAGTATACCGACCATATCATGTTCCTCGTCGATTGAGAACTTTGTCGACCAGTAGATCGCATGGTTTTAAACCAAACAAAATATACATCTAAAAAATGCATGACAAAAGAAGTTGAACTGATTTATACTTGTTTCAGTTGCCAATTGTGATCATGTTTGTTCTGTTTCCTTTATGTTTTCTCTATTGATTTTTGTGCACGTTATGAATTCAATCTCAGACATGCAGTGAATTAACTATTAACATTACCACGATGAGTAGTACGTGTCGATAAAGATATGGCAATATATCAGCGATTGTTCGGTTTAAAAATCCTCAAAGCGGCTTGTTCAGCTAACGGTCCACCTTTTGCGCTCATTTTCAAAAGATTATTGCAATAAAGCTACAAGCTAATCTAAAATTACAATCAAATGATTAAGTATATTAAACATTTCTCTACAAAATGATAAGTATCTCTGCTCTGAACGTTGATTCCCTAAGAAAATACGGCTGTTGTACAAACAGCCCAAGATATCGCTTTTGGAGCTAGCTGAAAACTGTGTCTAAAACAGTGAAGACGCGCAGTCGAAAATTTAACAAGTATACCAGTTTGTAGAAAATTGTTTGCTCTATAAACTGGTATGCTTGTTTAATTTTTGCCAGCCCGTCTTCACTCTTTTAGACACGCTTTTTGGATAGCCCCACACCATCTGTATTTTCATAGGGAATGAATGTTCAGAGCCGAGATATCTATCATTTTGTAGAGAAATATTGAATCTACTGAATTATCTAGTTGCAATTTTAGATTAGTTTGTAGCTTTATTGCAATAACTAAATGAGCGAAAAAAAGAGACCGTTAGCTGGACAAGCCGAAGGGTAAATGGAGAAGTGAATGGCATTTTTAATCACAATATTTCTTTTATGTAAAAGGCACGCGAAAAGAAGAAGTGAAGCACTGTAAAAACCTCTCGTTTGATTTTAAATTAAATATTAAATAAACAGTATGAGCATGCAATAATATTCTTAATCATCAAAACATAGAGAGACAGAGAGAGACTAGTGATCATAAAAAATATAATGTTTAAAATCAGAACAGGGTGACACTTACAGTTATTATGCCCACAATTATAGTTACTGCTGCAGGAAACACGGCCGAGAAATCAACAGCAGGAAAGCATGGCGGTACTACGACGACTGTTACTACTACTTCCGCGGTTACGAAAGAAACTACAGCTACTAAAGAGAATACCAGTCATCATCATCGTATTTCAAGAGTATCGCGACGCTCATTACGAAAGTCGGTAGGTAGTGAGAAATCAATTTTGTTCTCTTGTATGTAACATTTAGAAAAGCACTGTTGAACATCTTTTTGTTTTTCCAGGATACAGCTGTTATAGCTGATACTGCTGGCACTACTACCAGTGCTCAATTAACACGAGAAATGGGCTATAGTACAATTACTACCACTAATTTAGTGAATGAAACAACGACTAATCATCTACAGCCAACACCGCAAAATCATCATACTTCTATTACAAGAGTATCTAGACGATCATCGATCTCAATACGAAAGTCGGTAAAAGGAAAAATCAATTTTTTTGCTTTTCGCAGGCTCTCTACGCCGTTACCACCGAAAGTCAAACAAGTAATTTCTTCTTTTGTTTTCCATAGATGGAGGAGGATGTAGCTGCTACGCCAATTACCACAACACCAACAAAATTAAATGATATTATACTGTTAAGTAATAATAATGAGTTAACATATGGTGTTGGTACACCACCAGCACTACGAGGAACTCCAGCAGCAACAGCAGGAGGAGCAGAAAGAGACGTATGTGCAATGAAGACTGCATCTAACACTCACGCACATGTCGTTTTCTATTTACAGACGATAGTAAAAACAACTTCACGAAACAGTAGTTGTCACCGACAGCAGCGGCAGAGGGTAGTATTTCCTTAACTTTGTTCGCAACAAACGGACTTTTCTTGCTCATTTATACGACTGTTGCAGGACGATGACAGCCATTCACTTTCTTTGAATAATAACAACTCAAGTTCAAATTTTAAAAAGAAGAACGGGCAGTCACCACCGCCCGCACGCACATTCACCACAACTACAACAACTAAAAAAGTTACCAAAGTATTCTCATCCGAATAAAAGTTGTAGTTACGATGGTTTCTCTGCTTTTCGTTTGTGCTTAGAAAAATTATTCAAACCAGAATTCTAAAACAAAATTATCATCAGAGTCAGCATCATCAAAAGAGTTGAAAAAGAAAGTTTTACGAGACCGTCTCAAAGATAACGATAAAGTTAAAAACCAAGCAACAAAAAACATCCGACGGTAAGCTTTCTTCGTAGAATAGCAGCACTAATAACTCGTCCTAATACGATATAATGTTGTCTTTTAAGGTTATTCAAATCATCTACATTGTGTTGTTGTGCTACAATCACTGGATTATTAGTAGCTGGATTAATAGGGGCCGTTGCAGCAGTAATAACCTTAGCACGTCCAGCAGGTAAATGAGAAGAGAAGGTGAAAAGTAAAAACGTTTTCCTTGACTAGCACCATTGTTTTCGTTTAGCAGCTTCAACAATGACCACAACTATAGCGCCTACTTTAACTATTACAACAAACACAACTATAGCGCCTACTTTGACTATTACAGCAAACACAACTACTACAACAGGAAGTACTTCGCCGGCGACAGCGGCTACTACCACCAGTTCAACCATTACTATCACCACAAGTAAGTGCAAGATGATAAAAAACCTTTAAAAGGAGTAGAGAGGTTCATTTTTATGGTCCATATAGGTACCACATCGACGACAACGATAAGAACAACAACGACCTCTACTACCACTACAAGTAAGTAGCGTCACGAACAGAATCTGAACTACGAGAGGAAAATCCTTGTGAGTATTTGCAACGAAAATTCATAGGACTCCGTTAATCCAAAGCCATAGCACTATTTTGTTGAAAAAAAACAATTTTTTTACCCGACGCTGTTTCAGATCAATAGAAAACTAAATTCCGTGTAAATGAGTGATCTCATCGGTGAAGATTGTGCGACCTTTTCGTACGGAGAATAGTCTTCAAAAACGTATCAAAGTTATTGAATAATTTCCAATACGTTGTTTCCAATTCTTATAAGCTATCACATGTACTACCACTACTATTACCACCACTACCACAACGGCAACGACGACTACTACTGAGAGTAATTATAGAACCCGAAACTGGAAAGAGTGGACATTTAATTTTTGTGATTCAAATTTGTATTCTAGGTACCACAAGCACCACTCTAACATCAACATCAACTACGTCTGCGACAACAACGACAACCTGTAGTCCTGTATTCTCCAATTCAAATTTAGTTGCCTATTTTCCGTTGGATTCATCACCATCCTATCTGACTGATGCGAGTGCAAGTTTAACAGCAACGGCTAATGGAGTAACTGTTGTAGCAGGTGAACGTAATCAGTCATTATCATTCACAGGCGTTATCGATTCATATTTTCAAGTTTCGGGACTTACGTCACTTGGTACGCCAAATACACCATTTTCAATTTCCCTATATATCAATCCAAACGCTTTGGCCGGTACAATTGTACACATATCACAGCTTCAGAGTGGTAAGTATTTGACAATGACTTTTCGACGCATATATAGGCTTTAGAGCCATTTTTAGGTGTGCGTTCCCTTTGCACGACTGAGAGGTGTCTAAAAGTCAGTATGTCTTACCGTCTTCTAGGTACAGGCGCTTGGTGTCTCCCGTTCATTGGTTTTGCTTCAACACAACAACTTGCCGTACAAATTTGGGGTGGTTCAACAGCTGACTATGCACTTGGACCTATACCACCGGTGAATTCGTGGACACATGTTGTACAAACGTGGAGCACCAGTTCCGGTCTAAACATCTATATCAATGGTTCTTTATATGGTACGAATTCTGGTGCTACAGCCTATGGTGCAAGCGGTGTTGACGATTTTCTAACACTTGCCAGTACATTGCAAGCAATCCCATATCCAGCTAACGGTTGTTCAACAACAGGTGTTTTAGGTGGATTAGGGTATTACAATGGATATGTAGATGAATTGAGGATTTATAGTAGAGAACTGACAGCTTTGGAGGTTTGTGCACTTGCAAAATATTGACAATGAGATGAAATGAATTACTATAGCGTCTGAGTGCGTGTAAAAAAAGGCGACGAACTTTTTAAAATCAAAAATAGAAACGAAATTTGATGGAGATGTGTCTTTTATACAATAATTATATTTTTTATTAAAAGACTGACAAAACTTGAGACGCCTGTAAATATTCAAAAAAATCATTTTCGTTCATTCTTTTATTATGTCTGATATTTTTTTCTATATATTATTCTATACATCGAAGAGAGAGAAGAGAGATGATTCTCATAAGCGTAAACTTGCCGTTTGTCTCTCTTTTTTTTCAAAACCAGTTGCTATGAGAACATCTTAATGTTAATCACCTTCTGCGAGCAATGTAACTGCTCATATGATACCAGTTAACATTGATATGACTATTTTAATAAGTAATGGCAGAACAAATACAAGTCCAAAGATTTTAAGAAAAATTAAAAATATTAGAATTAGAGATGACAAGATTATAATATCGCTTAATGACCAGAGTATTACCGGTCCAAATCCATTATCGTTTATAAGAAATAGCCTTGCTAGTGATAACAGGATTAATACGGTATCAATAATAATGCAAAATCAAGTGCTACAATGCAAGCATATTTCTTGTCAACTAAAACTTGTGCAGTCTTTGGTGCATTTGATAGAAATTCTAAATTCTGTTAATTTTTGCTAAACCTAAATTATAGCAAACCATGACAACATAGAGCCAAAAATATTGTGAACAAAATCAATGCTGTATAAATGTATGAAAATTTAATTGATTTTACGTACCATGGACGTTGCAGGGTTATTGTACTATTTAAATTCACTTTCGGATAAATACATACTATACATGGATAAACATATATGACGGCAAAAAACGGAACTGCCATCAACGTAGCTAACGATTTATGTTTTTTATACAGATTAGTCAGATTCCACTGTGAATAACTCGATTTAAAATCTGTTTACTATATCTATATCTATTAATTCTTTTATTTCTTCCTTTTTACTTCGTAGTTTATTTGTATTGCTTAACTAAACGTTTCGATTAATGAAAATCTTCATCAGTAATACCAACAACGAAACTACATGAATCAAAATATGTTGCTGACGTAATTGCTACGGTACAATCTGCATTGTATAACACAAATACCATACAAAAAGAATTAATTATAAGAGAAGTTAGTAAGACGATTGATAAGCACTTACCAACTGCAATTAAAAACAATAGAAATAAAAATAAACCAAAAATAACTCAGTACGCTTAAAAATTTAAAGAGCGATAACAAGATTATAGTAGTAGGCGCGGATAAGGGAGGAAAAGTTGTAGCGTTAGATGTAGAAGAATATAAGACAAAGATTAAAGCAAAACTAAGCACCAATACGTATGAGATTGTCAGATCTAAACCAGATCCAGCTAAGAAAATACATGAAGAGCTAAGCGAATTAGTGAAAAGTTTGAAAAAAGTTAAAGCTATTTCAAATCGTCAAGGAAAGATATTTTTAAAACAAAAACAATTACCCATGGTAAGAGCAAAGATAAAAGTGCACAAGGAAGGTTATCCTGTAAGACTGATAATTGCTATGCGAAATACTATTGGTTCAAAACTAGCAAAGTTTATTACAAGAGCCTTGAGTAAAATAAGCAATAAAATGAGATCTATTAAGAATACAAAGGATTTTATTCAGAAGTTAAGTGAAATAGAGGTGAATAAAAATACAACACTAGCTAGCTTAGATGTTGTAGATTTGTTTAC